GTTGAGCTCAGCCTGGGCAACTCAGTGACTTAGACACCTTTTCTCAAAATAAAATACAACTGGGGAGCTGGGGATATAGCTCAGTGTGAAGGCCCTGGGGTAGTCCTCATTACTGCCAAATATCTAACTATATCTGGAGAGTGAGGTGGGTCTGGACAGTGCAGCAGTATTTTGGGCTTTACCTTAGGAACCAGAGGAAGCCATGACAGTATGTTAAACAGGGAGTACAGTAATAAAAAAATCAAATTCGTGTTTTGAAAAGATCCTTATGGTTACAATGTAGATGGATTATAGGGGTACAGGGATGCATGTAGTGAAGTGGGTTAAGCCATGATTGCAAAGATCGGGAAATTATTTTTGAGTTGGATGATTTGGTGACTGTCCTCCACAGAATGGAGTTTCTGGCTTGGCTTTCTTACACACATTTCCAGTTTTGATGGTAAAATGGTATCATCAGACCAGAAGTCATTTTCATCTTAGTTCTTAGGATAAGAGCCAGGTCATCTAAAAATTGTATTACACATTAAACTGTTGACAACAGGCTGGGTGTGGTGGCACAGGCCTATAATTCCAGTACTTGGGAGGCTGAGACAGATAGATCACTACTGAGTTCAAGGCCAGCTCGGCTACACAGTGAGTTCAAAGCCAGCCTGGACTACATAGCAAGGCCCTGCCTCAAAAAAACAAACCAAACAAATGTTGACAAGTCTTCCTTAGGAAATGATAGAGGGAAACATTCACATTTTACCTTTAAAAGTTTTATATTTGATTATTTTTACAATGAAAATGTAAATACAAGTTTAAAAAAATATAGGAGCCAGGTACAGCAGTGCATGCCTATAATTTCAGCTACTCAAGAGGCTGAAGCAGAAAGATCACCAGTTTGAGGACAGTCTGGGCAACTTAGTAAGACCGTCTCAAAATAAAAAAGGGGATGTAACTCAGTGGCGAGCACCACAGGTCCAATCCCCAGTACCACAAAACAAAATGCAAATATAGGAATCCCATCAAATATATTTATAAATGTAAATGGAGACCTAGGAATTATCTTGTTTTATGCCACCTAGAACTGAATTTTGAGCTCTTTAAGAGCCTATTCCCATCCTTTCTGCTGCTTAGAATTTATCAACCATAGAGGCCCAGAAGAATTTAAAAGGATGGGTTCTACACCTCATAAACGGATAAATATTATCTGAAAATATTTTAATTTACTGCTTTAAAATTCGTAAATATTTCAAGAAGCTTTCAATTGTTATTTTTTAAACATAAGATGCAAGCCTAAAATGATGAACGGTCAAAGAGCTGAAACTAAATAATGCTTCTTTCCCAAACAAATACTGTATTAACCACAGAGACCAAGAGAGAAGCAAGCTGGCAATAACTGGACAAGACCATCAACTACTTGATAGTTCTATGGGGATTAAGAGTATTCCTTTTTCTACATAGATATACATGTTCTTATCTAGGAAACAGTCTCAAAGAGTTAAATGTGCAAGGACTGGTGTCCAAGACAAACTAGGATTTATTATGATGTACAGTCTTTGTTGGAAATGGGACTGTCTAGTAAAATACTAAAAGTATAGTCAGAATTTTACAGGTCCAGCCAGCATTAACTCACCACCACATCCAAAAATGAAATCTAGACTTTTCAATAATCCATTTGCATTATTAAACAGTCTCTGTTTAAGTTCTATACTTTGGTTGAGATATAATTTGGTCAGAACATTGTATACTTTTTTTTTGCATTAAACAGTCTCTGTTTAAGTTTTTTTTGCATTAAACAGTCTCTTTAAGTTCTATACTTTGGTTGAGATATACTTTGGTCAGAACATTGTATACTTATTTTTTTTTTTTGCATTCCACTAAGAATGGTAATATAAAAATGATCTAGGAAAAACAAATGAAAACATTATGCATTAAAACATAAGATCATTGTTTATTTGCTAATAATAATGATAGGGTTCAAAAAGCATTGGCAACAATTGTAGAGACCTCTATAAAGCATTTTCATACCCATTACTATTAAACACCTTTCTAGCTAGTGTCTCATTCCTGTGTCACAGGTGAGCAGTTGGAAGAATCCTACCAATTTCCCAAGATTTATATTATTTTCTGACTTCCATGTTCTTTATTCTACCAGCACGAATTAAAAATGCTGCAAAGCAGCAAGGCTAGACCCATCTTTGGTAAATTCACTCACACACACAATAGGGTACCTTATCTGAATGTTTGTGCCTCTCCAAAATTCATGTTGAAATGCTAACATGATGGCATTTTAAGTGTTGAGGTCTTTGGGAAGTTATAAGGGTGGAATTAGTGCCTTTATAAGAGGTCCCAAGGAGTTAGGGGGGAATGCAATAGAAGGAATGCACATGACTGAAGTATGTTATCTGCAGGTATAAAAATGCATAAATCCCATTATTTTGTAAAATCTATATATAAATATGGACAGACCTCTTTTATTAAGAGACATACTTTATCTCATTATAAGATATAATATACATTATATCCCATAAAGATATATCTCATACTGATATATAATCCCATATATGATATATATCCCATATTAATTATATCTTTTATTGATATACAGTGGTACTTCAGTTCATGAACTTAATTTTTCCCATGATTCTGGTCGCAAACCATGATTCTTGTCAAGTCCAACAAGAACCAAATCAAATTCAATGGTTAGGCTCAATGTTGACTTCAAGGAGAAATGTGATTTGGTTCTTGTCTAATTCAATAGACCCACCATGGGGGATGGGCAGTCACAGAGAGGAGATCTGTCCATTTGTGAAGCATGTCCTCACCAGGCAATGAATCTCCAGGCACCCTGATCTTGGACTTCCCAGCATATAGAACCATGAGAAACAAATTTCTGTATATAAGCCACTCAGTGTGTACTTTGCTGTAGCAGCCCAATGCAGTAAAAATTCAAAGTCAGGGAGGGACAGCCCAATCTCCCTGGAAACCACTAAGAAACCAGATTCCTTTGTATATTTCATTCTCTATTAATCTTTATGGTGTGGTTTCTCCAAGCCACACGAAGACTGCAGACTCCAGCATGGCACATGAGTTCAAAGGGAACAGCATAGATCTCAGAGTTCCAGAATCCTGGGAAACATCTGAGTGACCAAGCTTGGGTAGAGGGGCATTCTCTTTTCAACTGACTCCAAGTAGGGGAAATTATAATGGTAATGGAAATAAAGTTCTGGGCACCATCTTAAACCAATCTGGCCAAATCAATGACTGTAAATGTTCTGAAGAAGCATTAAGTATCTTACTAAAATGATTATATAAAAAGCTCATAAAATTCTAATGAAAGAATTGTTATAGTAAAGCATGAATGTGGTCCTGGGAACTTGAAGCCCGCCTGACACTGGACTTTGATGAAAGCAAGGAAATGCTTACAGTGAGAAGCTGGGGCATTTTCTCCAGTTCACTTCACTAATATGGCATTATAATCAATGGGAATACAGAAACATCTTATTCCAAAATACAAACCTTCAATAGTGGTCCACAGACTACTGAATGAAGTTCTCAAGGTCGCATATTAAAGAGATTAGGGATCTGGCTCAGTAGTAGAGTACTAGCCTAGCATATGCAAGGCTCTGGGTCCAATGCCCAGCACTGAAAAAAGAGAAGGGAAAAAAAAAAAAAGGAGGAAAAAAGTGTTCAAGGTCCTCCATTATTGGTCCCATGCACTTAACACTGACTTGCCTAAATGTTTCTAGAATGCTTGGACTGGTTTGGGGTTATTCTTCTCCCTCACAGTACTGATCACAATGCACTGGATGGTGAATCACCAGTCTCTTTTACTAGGCTGTAAATCTCCTCAAAGGCAGTTGTTTCTTTCTCTGCAGATGATGTATCTCCAACACTTAATACTGTATTGGGCTTATCAAAGATGTTTAGTAAGTATTGCTGAATGAATAATATACAGTACTCCTAAATCCTCATGAAGAAAAATCATAAAATTTTAAAGCCTGGAAGATAGGAAAAAAGCTATTCTTGGTTTTTTTAGAATATAATCCCTTGAGAAATAAATTTTCAATCCCTGAATATCCACCTAGCTGGCCTACTACTGACAATATTACTGAAATGAACCAAGAGCCAGTATTTAAATAATACCCCTTTGGGGCAAAACTGGTTTCTAGATCAGATTCTTTATGGGTTTTTGAAACTTTTAAAAAATTCTTATCTCCTATTTGTCTCAGAAATTCACAGTGAAATTACTCTCAGGTATTTTGAATGGTGATGGATTTTGAATTACTTCAGATAAGAAGCAACCTTAGAAATATAAAAATCACTACTACAAACGTGCCAGGCACCATGGTGACCGCCTGTAGACCCAGCTACTCAGGTGAGGTTAAGAGAATCACTGACACCACTGTGTAATACAGGAATCCTCATTTCAAAAACAAACAAAAATCACTACTTTAACGCAAAATGTCCCATTTGTGAAGGACACATCCTCAGAAAAAAATCAGTATTTTATGCTCCTTGGAAACTTTAGGCTTTATTAATTGCCTTTCTATTAACCCAAAACAAAACAAAGCCACAGCATTTTATCTTAAATAGCATCATTCAGAGTTGAGGCTTAAATGTTACTCAAGTAGTTTTTTTGGTACTGGGGATCCAACTTGGGACCTTCGCTTGCGAGGCAGGCAGTGGAACTACTGAGGCTAAATCCCCGGCCCGCTCAAGTAGTTTTTGCAAAGAATATGGTTTAGGTATTAATGGCTTATTTTTATTTTTTAAAAGTCTGGGCCAGAGATTTAGCTCAGTGGTGCTGTGCCTGCCTCGCAAGTGCAATGTCCTGAGTTCAATCTCCGGCATGAAAAAAAAAAAAAAGTCTATGACCTTACCCATTATATATAGAGAACTGGATTATAGATACAAATAGTTTCTTTCTTTATGTGAATTACCTTAAGATATAAAAATCAAATTATTCTTTGGCTTTATTATATGGGAAAAATAACACAGTCTAGTCAAACAACTTTGTGATATTTATATTCTATTGCACAGATATGGGTTATACAAATTAGTAACACAAGTTATTTCTTAAATTCCAAACATTTTCTAAAATATTATTACAGCAAATGCTTAGGATATTAAAACATCAAAGTGGAAAACATACTCTAAATAGTTAAATGCAATAATGAAAATACTGCACATTTTAATTAAAGGAAAAAATGCGTGCTTAAATGCTCTAATAAACTAGGTAGCAGGGCAACTAACACTACAAATAAGTCACTGTGGTCCATTTTAATGTATGCATATATATGATTATTCTTTATATAACCCCTCCTCTTGAAAATGCATAATTAAAACATACAAATTCAGATAAATGACTTAAAGAAATTTTAATTTTTCCTAATACTTAAGATCTACAGTGAAGTGTACTATTATCTATGACTTCATACGCTTACTAAGTCAAATACAAAAGACACCACACTTAAAAAGAAGGAAATATTTTTTAAAGATAATGGTTTTAATTGAATTAATGAGATGAAAAGATAGTGGGGCCCTGTTTGCTACTTACATGAAAGAAGATTTTAAAAAATAATCACTGCACAAAATACAAAGGGTGGGGTTATGCTGTGGCATTAAATTTGTCTCCATGTTTTTCTCGACTGTTCAAGAGCAAATTAAAGTTTCCACGGCAAATTTGTTTTCAAAATGCCGAATTGTGACACAATTGCTGGCTTCACGTTTCTGAATACCTGTTTGGCAGGAAAAAGGGTTTTAAATTTCTGATGCTTTTGTAACAAATATTCACGTTCTTACTTATTTTTCATATATATTGAAGTATTTCACATTGTAATTCCACAAACTTTGAGTGTTTTAATTTGTTTACACTGGAGAAAATATTTTTTCTCCTTTTTCTTTTTTTTTTGGTACCAAGGATTGAACTTCGGACCTTACGCTTGCGAGGCAGGCGCCGGAACCACTGAGCTAAATCCCCAGCCCTCCTTTTTCTGAACTATGTATTTTCAGATCATAGCAACAATAATAAAGCCTTACAGATTACTTACAAATTTATGAACTGAAAGTAATGGAAATGTTCTCCTTCCTGATTATGGTAGTGTATGACCATATGTGAATTTGTAAAACTCAAAACTGTACACTAATTAAGGCAAATTTCATTGTAGGTATCAACTTGACTTTAAACAAATTACAAACTAAGATAATTTTTAAGTCTAAAAAAGGAAGCTGTAGGTTTCGGATGACTCATCAGCCCAAAGTAAAAAGACAATATTATTAAAAACTATCAAAAGCCAGGAAAGCACTTTTACTGAGTGACATGATCACATAGAAATCACACCACAGTATATTTGAATGGTACTTCTTACTTTCTACAGTTGTCAAATTTACTCTCTGATTTTATTTTGTTTTATTTTATTTTGGTACCGGGGATCGAACTCGGGTACTTGGGCTTGCAAGGCAGGCAGCAGAACCACTGAGCTAAATCTCCAGCCCTCTCATTTTATTTTTACAAAGGAAAGGAAATAAGACATATTGTTATCCTTTTTTAAGGTGCAGAAACAAAGGTTAAGTGACTTTACGAAGCTAAAAATTAGTTGTATAATGTTCATTAATTCCTTACCAAAATTCCTTTCTTACTAACCTGTTTATTCAGAATGTGATTCAAAAGGCCAACAGCCTGCTTAGAATTTAGACTTCAGTATACAAGTGAAAAAGAGACCTGGATAATAAGACTCCACTCAGTACTGCTGAGCTACAATGGGGATGGAAAATCAGACTGGGTAGCTATATGGAAGGTGCAGTACCAGCACCTCACAGCAATGACATTTCACCCTGGCCTTTCTCACTATCAGAAAAGAGTAGATTTAAATTAAAATGATTCAATGAAATCTTGCAACAAGTATAGATATGTATACAATGACTAGGCTTTGTCTAAATCATTTAACACAACAAAATGGCACAATAAACTTTTCTGCCAGCATTAACATTAAAAAGTATTACCTTTAATAGTTTCTCTGCGTTGCAATTTGTAAGTTTCCTTGTCATGACACAGTCGATAAATAAAGAAACCCAGATGGTCGATGTTTTCAATTCGATCAGTAATAACCATGTGTTCATGAATCAGGTATGACTGAGGCAAATAAGTTCCAGCCTACATTTAGAAAATAAATTTGAATATCTCAAAATATACATTGAACAAACCAGAAGAACAGAAAAAAAATTCTTAGATATTATATTAGTGAAAAGAGAACAACCTACCATCTATTTTATTCAACTTTTTTTTTGATATCGGGGATCGAACTTGGTCCTTGTACACGCAGGGCAGGTGGCGGAACCATCGAGCTAAATCCCCTGCCCTCAGCTTTTTTTTAAAAAAACAGGGTCTCACTATCTTTCCTAGTCTGGCTGTTAGCGCCTAAGCTCAAGTAATCTTCCTGCCTCAGTCTCCTTAGTAGCCAGGACCAGAAGTGCACACCACTGTATTGTTGGAATATAGCTATGCCTATTTATTTACATATTGTCTATGGCATTAGAATTAAGCAGCTGGCCAATATTTACTCTCTAGTCTTTTAGGAAAACTTAAACATAATGTAACAAATATTTTAATTTCAAAATAAATAAACATTTTAAAAAATTACAAGTCTTAGTTCTTTTTTTGTGAAATTCTTGGCTATATTCTGTTAAGATGGGTTCCAACAGGACTAATTTCTCAACAGGGAATTCCCAGACACTAACAGAACCATTAATCAAAAACAGTAATAATTTTTATACCTTGATGTTAATGAGTAATTCCAACAGGTTTCTAGGAGGCATAACAATGGAAGTATTCAGAGGAATCACGTAGCACTTATCCAGGTTAAGATCTAAATAGGCAGTGAGTTTCTGGCAAGAAAAAAAAGACACATTTTAGTTAGATTAATATCTAAAATAGGCAGCAACTGAAATTTTAAATAACTGGTACCATTAAAACAGGTTGGCTTGGGCTGGGGATTTAGCTCAGCGGTTCCACTGCCTGCCTCACAAGCACAAGGTCCTGAGTTCGATCCCCGGTACCAAATAAATAAATAAAACAGGTTGGCTTTAGAATGCGTAAATCATTTGCATTTTAACAAACCAAGAATCTGGTGAATAGGCATGGAAATAGGAATGAGGAAAAATAATTGCTTGTAAATGCAATCATCAGGAATTTTTTATAATAGTAATACTTATTAACTGTAAATATCTATTATGTGATGGATTTATTAGTTCCCTCACTTATCCCAAATACTCCTCCACAAAGCATCTATACATTGTTAATGTAAACATTATTTTCTCTCCTATAAATCTGAAATATTAGTACCATCCTTAGAAAACTAGAAAAAGTCTCAAATAATTTTTGTCTTCTGTAGTTTAGATAAAAATCCCAGCTGACAAAGACATCTCACAGGATGGTTTTAAGAGCTGAGTTACACTAAGACATGCAAACACTTGTAAGAGTCCCAAGAGCTTAGTAAGTTAAGTATTAATATTTACTATTTGCTTAGGATAAAGCTTATTACCTTGAAGTAATTTTTTAAACTGGTTCACAAATGTGTATCAGGCATAGAAAGCATAAAATGTTTCCAAAGCTAAATTCAGTGAGTGTTCAAAATGGCATCAGCTTATTCAAAGATATAAGAACCAAAGGCACGTGAACTTCTGAACCTCTGAATCCCAGTTTGAAGAAACAATTTAAATATAACAAGAAATTTAAATATAAACTAGATATTAAATAGTAGTATATTGTTGTGTTAATTTCCTTAGGTGTGATGATCATTTGGATATGTGGGAGAACATCTTCATTCTTAAGAGCTAACAAATAAGGGGTAAAGTGGCAAATGAGAGAAAAAATGAAGCAGAGGAGGAAGATTTGGGTTGTTACTTCAAACTCCTCTAGGCTGCATAAAATTTGAAAAGCTAGGGGAAAATGCAGAATGAGAACTTATAAACAGATCAACAAATTATTAATTTTTGAAAATGCTACAAAGAAATGGGAAGATAAATGAGCTCTAAGAAAATGTGGAAGTAAGAAATAACAAGTTGCTAGTAAAGGAAGAAAAAGTCATGAAGGAGGCTTTCAGAATAGGCAAGACCAAGGAATGAAAGAAAGCAAGATGTGAGAAAGGGATCTGTTTCAGATAAAGCAGAGCCACCAAGTAGTGATAGCTTATCTTGTAATGCTGAGAAACCCAAGTCCATCTTTTAAGTAAAAACTAAACCCTAAATAGAATAATTTAGTGAGTATTAAATGAAAAGTAAAAAAAATATAAATTCAAGAACCTGTATTTTTTGTACCTGTGATTGTACTTTTTGTAATTTTGGACAATTGGCCCACCTTGTTAAAGTCATGAACAATGTTGGCAGGATCACTGTCTGCAAATTCTGGGACAGGCACACTAATGAATTCAACCTCATCTTCTTTAAAGATCTTAATATTTTCTTCGATTGTCTGGTAGCGAGCAGCTGGGGCATCTGCAGAAGGCTCATTTAAGATGACATCATCCTTGATGTACTTTATTCCACAGTAGTACACATCATCTGGCTGTAGAGAATTTAAAGACTCATTGCAGCAATTCAGTGTGAGACAGGTTTTTAAATGTAAGCATTACTTAAGCTGCCACCTCTATCTAAATAGCATTTTGCTTGCAAACTCTTACTTTTAGATGACAAGTCAGACAGTTTAATTACAGAGTTGGCACATTCTTTAAGGTCAGGTTTTGAAGTATTATAAAAAAATTACTTCAGAAGAAGAAAAGTAACTGATTTTCCCTTTTCTTTTTGTGGTAGATAAAAACAGAATATAAAAGCAATTATCTACCTGGTGACAAGTATATTTGAACAAACACACAGGCCTACTTTACCTGTAGGTATTGTTTTTCACAAAAGAATATATTCAGAAAAAAATAGTATCTTTAAGAAATAACAAACTTTCAAAATTTTGATAAAGTTAACTTATTAAATGATCCTCATCCCTCTTTGAAAAAGGGTTTGGGATATAGCTCAGTGACAGAATTGCGTGCCTCGCATCAATGCATGTATGAAGCCCAGAGTCCAATCCATGGTATTCCCATCCCTCAAATAATTTTTTCCCTTTATTAGCCCAAAAGAGGAAAAGAAGGATAATTTTTCTAAAATTTTCATATGCATGCAGGTAATGCTAATCTTTCCTTAAACTTTATAATGGCTAAGTGGAAAACATATATATGAAAAAGTATACATATAAACAATAGACTGGGAACTGTATAATAAACATTTTGGCACCAAATCTTACCTCTGGACAGTGGAACTGCCATTTTTTTTTCTTCTGTATTTCTTTTGAAAAATAATACAAAAAGTGACCAATATTTCAGTAATGTCTACTGATAAGCCATTATTATTATTTTTTGGGGGGGGTACTGGGGAGCCATTATCTTGAATAACATAGAAAATGTGCATAAAATTTATACATCCTCTGGCAGAATATTTCAAAATTAGTTACTTAATTTTTAAAAATGCATCTAGTTGTCAAGTGTTTCTCCAAATTTCCAAAGTTTAAAACAAGTGAACTAGTCATAAAAGCTCAAAGTAAACTTCCCCTCAAGATTCCTTAAGGGGAGGAATACTCACTGAATTACTGCCAAGAGAAATATATCACACAGCAGATATGACAGATCATAACTAATTGGAAGAAAAATCTGTTTTAACCCAAAGGTTTTATTAAACATTCTAAATTATAAGCAACTTTCACCGTAAGATATTTCAACATCACTCCTGAAGTCACCCAACTCTTTAGAGAAACCAATGACTAGCAAGTGGCAGAGAAATGCGGTACCATGTTCTCTGGGCCCAAGGGCAAAAGGATATTGTGAGGGTGGCTAGAATTGGCTATCAAGTGACAGTTTATCAACATGACAACGTTTATGGCAAATGTATTTATTCAACTGTCAAGTCACAATGCTATACCTTTTAGTCAGTAATTACGGTAGGCAAATGAAGGTTAAGCTGATTTTGAAAAAAAATCACCCAATAATCTAAACCCTTTTGTCAGCAACATCTCAAAATACTGTTATTCTGCTTTTATTTTATTTTATTTATTTTTTTGGTACCGGGGATCGAACTCGGGTCCTTGCGCTTGCGCAGCAGGCGGTGAAACCACTGAGCTAAATCCCCAGCCCTGTTATTCTGCTTTTAAAGACTGAGTGTCTATAATACGTGTTCCAAACACATGATCAATTTTTAAATACAGCTTTAAATCAGGACCACTCTTCTGTCTAAAGGCCACAGACAAAAAAGCACAAGCTTAGAACAAATTAGGGAAAATTTTCTAATACATCTGATAAAGGCAAAAAAAAAAAAAAGGTCAAAGACAAAATATGTGGTGGCAAGCAGGCCTATAATCATAGCACTCTTGGAGGCTGAGGAAAGAGGATAACAAGTTTGAACCCAGCCTGGGCAACTTAGTGAGATCTTGTCTCATTTAAAAAAAAAAAAAAAAAAGACACTTACTTGAAGTGCAAAATATTTGTACAGGTATGCTCCTCCTAGAATGACTCCTGCAAGCATAAATGCTAGTCCAAAGCACATGCACCAACACCAGGCTCTTCTTTGGCCAACTGGTACCACATCATCTGGGTCCTAAAATACGAAAAAGACAATTGATATGTATCTTGAAGGAGAAGGCTCAGGATTAGAAATATCTTAAGGATTACTGTTTTAAAAAATGAAGACATAAATACCAAAGGAGTTATGGCCCTGACCAAAATCAACCCAAGAACAATTAAATGGTGGCACTAGGACTCACCCCAATGCTTCTTTGGGCCCCAGGGAGAATTCTAACTACTTCTAAATCTCAATACCCTACCTGCTAACCATATCTAAAGCAATGATCCAACCCATAATTCCTATTTCCAGGCACAACTTTTGGTGATCTCCTAACATTGAGACATTCAGAAAAAGTTTCAACACAACTTTGTCATACAGTATTATGATGTCTTACATGGCTTATTTGATCAGATCAAATGCTGTGAAAGCATTACACTTGGATGTAATACTTGCCCACATACTCTGTATGCATACTTAAGGCAACTACTTCACTGCAAGAAGTTATATGTAATGAGAACAAGGCTAAAAGAATTTATCAAGCCATGTAAGACATCCCATTTGTGAAAAGTTAACAAGAATTCCATGGAGTCATGTGGTACTATGAAACGAACATTAAAGTATACATATTTTGCTTGAGCTCTTGTCTGGCATAAATACTGAAACAGATAAATGTTTTCTAACGTAATTTCAGGGTGGAGGCAGTGGTGGAAATGACAGATGGAAACAGTCATTTCCAATATCTGATATCAGTTGCTGAGACAGCCAAATATATGCACACACCCATCCATCAATGCTATGCGGCAGTATCTCTCTAATAGTATATACATGAATAATCAAAGACCACAGGCAGATAGAGTACCTATAAAATAACATGATGGAGCCTCAACTGTCAAACTGATGACAAGTTTTCAGTCTTTTTAATACATCATTTTAAATTGCTCAACAAAAATACTTTTGAGAATAAATTATAATTGTCTGCTATATGCCAAGAATTGTGCCACACACTGAATGATAGCCTCTGCCAAGAAAAAGATTGGCTGGATCATCAGTCTAGGAAATAGGTAATATATAAAGAGAACATAAACATGATATGGGTTCTAACAGGAAAATGTGAAGAGAGCACATTAGAGATAAGTTTGGTGAAGACTTCTCAGGGGAGAAAACACTTGAATGGAATGCTAAAGGATACTCTTACCCAGGAAGAAGAGAGAATTAAAGGAAATTATGTGTAAGGCAAAGAACAAAATCATGCAGCCAGAATGCATGAAATTCCCAAGAGCCACATGCATGATGGCTGGAGTATTCCAAATGGGGGGCAGGAATACAAAAGATGAAGATGAGATGTAACTGGGGCAGACCACAAAGGGCCTCTGTAGAACATGGTATGGAGTTCAATTCTCATGTTATTCAAACAATCACCTTTCAGGATTACAATACCGGGGATTGAACTCGGGTCCTTGAGCTTGCCAGGCAGGCAGCTGAACCACTGAGCTAAATCCCCGGCCTCAACATCAATTTCTTGAAGAATTTAGCTTATACAATACTTCACTTATCCACAAGTCATTTATTCAGCACCTCAACAATGTGAAACATGGCTTACAAACAAGGAAATAATAATCTTTGAACAGCCCAATTATGGATCCAAAGTCTATGTGCCACAGTCAAGAACTTGATTAAAGAGATATCAAGTCTTTCAAGTCTATTTACTCTTTCTCCCCCACCCCCCAAATTCCTAGTGATCACTTTAGCCTTGTATTAGAATAATTCACATATAGTACTCATCTCTTCCTAATAGGCTATAAGGTCTTTGTGAGCATTCATATTCATTTTGCATTACTGGCATAAGCTTGGCACTTAAATGGCATGCAAAATTTGATAAGCAAATAAAACGTAGACACTTTTTTAAAAAGCCCAGCTATTTAAATCTTTTATGATTCACAAAATTTACATCAGTACCCAGGAACATAGTGAGGGTACAACACAATAATTCATGATGCACAATAAACTTGCTATTTAGCATAAACAGTAGCCCTACTTAGCTCAGCTCAACATTTATTAAGGGACTATTATGTGCAATGTACTGTGCTAGATCCTATGAGAAATTCAAATGTGTTTAGGCATGCTCCATCTCAACAGTTATTAACACTATCTATGCCAAATAAATGATGTCCCATATTGTAATCTGGAAAATGGATTAAAGTATATACTAGATTTATAAGTTTTTAATAGAAGTTTTAAAAAATGATTAAATTTTAATACTTGAAAGAATAACCTTTAGTTGAAAAGCCCCACAATCTTCTCAAAATAATAGAAAATTTATTTGACATAATTCAATTCCCACTCCTATTGTCTTTGCAAAGTAGGAAGAGGTGAAATTCTTATCATTAATGAAGTAAATGATTAAAATTCTAAAGCAAATTTCATATGTGAAATTTAGACTTATACCCTCCCTTTCAAGTCAGGAGTACAAGGATGTCCATTAAAATTGATTGTTTCCATTCAATATTGTACTAGAGATTCTAGCAAATAACAGATACAGGATTAGAAAAAAAGAAAGTTGTTATTTGTTAACTGATCTACACAGAAAAATCTAAGAAAGTAAAATTATTCAAACTGGTAAGAATTTATCAAGATTGCTAAGGATCAAATTTTCAATAATCAACCGAATTAAAGATTTGTACATGAATATTCAGGGCATCATTATTCATAATAGCCCTGAACTTAAAACAACTCAAATATCCATCAACTAATAAAATGGATAAATTGTGATACATTTATACTATGAAATAGATAGCAATAAGAAAACAGAAAATTAACATATCCCAGCATGGCTGGATCTCAAAATCATGCTAAATGAAAGAAGTTCAAAAGAGATTCCATTATGGAATTTTAGAAAAGGCAAAACCATGGTGACAAGCAGTTTAGTGGCTATCACTGGCAAGTATTGAGAAAGGGGAGAATGACCACAAGGGGGTATGAGGAAACATTTTAGGGTGACAGAAATGTTTCCTATCATGACCTCTATATAGTGGACACACAACTCTGTACAATTACATGAATTCAAATTGTACACATAAAATGGATGTTTTACTGCATGTAAATTTCAACAAGGAGAGCAGGAAAGCAATCAATTGAGTTTCTACATACCATGCAATAAAAGCAAAGTCTAACAATACTAAGTCCTGAGGAAAGGGCTAAATAAAGAGAACTTGGGAACTTTCACACAGTTGACAGGAGATGGTACCATTACTTTGGAAAACAATTTGGCAGAAACTAGTAAAAATACATGTATCTTATGACCGAGCAACTTCAAATCTGGGGATAAAACTGCTGATAAACTTTTGTAAATGTGCATAAAGAAGTATGCTCAATAATGTTCAGGGTACAATTATTAATAAGAAAAAAATTTAAAATAATCTAACTGTCCATTCAAGAGGAGAATAAAGTATTACAGTCTATAGATTCTCTACATTTTTTATGTTTAGAATATTTCATGATTAAAGAAAAGAAAAAGAAAAATTACTAATAATCAGGAGCTTCTTCACTGGGGTATGTAATTTTACCTGGCCTACTTTAAAAGTCACAGAAACATTTCCTCCCTCTTGTACTACAATAAAACTGGTACAGCACCTTAAACTGTGCTAGTAAATTATAAGGTAACAGAACTCCCTTAAGTGCCATACAATTATCATCTCATTAATCTTCCTGAAATGTCAAGATTTTAGCCCAGTTTACAAATGAAGGCAGTGAAGTGCAGGATTGCCTATAACTACCCCCTCAATAGCAGTTACAGAAAAACATAGCTTTCAGAAGCATTCTCATTTTTGCACCATACTAATTTCTGGTTCAAATAAATTTTATCAGAGAATAAAGAAAAATTATTTAACAAATTATATCTTAACCAAAATGAAGGATAAATTGTGTTGTTACTTCAGTTAAATAAGAATTAGGTCACCTCAATCAGTTCCCTAGGAGATTTCAGTAAAAGTGTTTCAATTATAAACTTAAATAAAATGTGAGGGTTTTTTTATATACTTTTTATTCTGTTCTCAAAACTAAGAAAACACATCCTTGGGCAGTTCTATTTTAATCTTTTTAATATGATGAATGAAGTTTTCAGGAGATATTTTTCAAAGCCCTCAGATGTTCTATTTTTCATTATTATCACAAATGCAACAGAAATGCTTTAGAAACCAGAATACTAAAAAGGAAAATGTCTCTTAGGATTAAAATCTCTCTTAGGGTTATACAATGGCATAAACAGTTTAAGTGCAAACATAAGACAAAAAAAAGGGAAAAGAATCAATATAATGTCAGATTATGTGTTGTTACATTTGCAGAAGACTCAGAAATGTGTACATTTTAATGCATATTGAGGTAACATAGGTAAATACAAGTGTACACAGGCCGGTTGCCGAATGTTTTGTTTAAACTGTATAACGTTTCCCAAAATAGATTAGCTGTTCATATTTTTAAAATCTGATTCGCATTTAAAAAAAAATAGATTTCTCATCAATATTCTAGTATTCGCAACTCCTCTAATTTTTCCCCCTACTTGAGGACCAAATTCATCATATTCTTTTCTACCTTGTTGCTGGATTTTAAACTCAAATCTTCATTTCCAGCTATGACTGGGTATATTCCTTCTTCTGAGAATCTAATTTAATCTAAACCACTTCTTCATATAAAAGATTTTGAGTTCTGGGTTTCAGAAGCTGGTAGATGTTCTATTCAATTTCCTCTGAAAGCACCAAAAAGACATGATCTAAGGCTCTGTCCATTATTCATAGGATTAATTACCAAATATACCTGCTATGTGTAAAACAAAATCTCTGGTTGAAACATACCAATATATAAGACACCAAACACTTGTTTGTATTTTTTCTTATTCACTTAAATCAGTGTCTCAATTTTGCTTCCTAATTTGCCTTTCCAAATAGAACTGCTATTGTTTCAACTATGGTGAGCAAGTCTGAGTGAGAAATACTACATTTGACATATAAACAAGCAGTTTTCCAAGTGACTGGCATTAT